GGGGGGGGGGGGGGGGGGGGCTGCGGTGGCGGAGATAGCGGAGGAGGCAGCGGGGGCGGAGGAGGAGGAAGTGGAGGAGGAGGAGGGGGAGGAAGTGGTGGAGGAGGGGGTGGAAGTGGAGGAGGCTGATATGCTGATGTTTTTATGTCTGAGGACGAAGTCGTGCATTGTGCCTTGTAGAATGGTCATCATCTAAATTCAGAGTGTCGCTCGAATTGACACGTATCAACTCCCGTTGGTGTGATGAGACAAAGCATTACATGCTTCTACCTAAGACAGCCTCATCTGTCCAGAGTACTAATCGCGACACTGGTAATTTCACTGTCGATGGGCTTTGATGCTAAGTACTTGATCCTCGAACGATGGGGTATCTCATGGCGCTTGTGAAGGGAAGTTGGCGAGTACTATTCCTGGACGGTTTGTAGTGGGTGTCTCGACGAGGCTATAAAGTCCTTTGCTTCTGCTTTTCTTTTGGATTTTATTCTATCCACTTACCACACTGGCTAGCGCAGCCTTTCTTTCTTTTATTTTCTTTTTATTTATCGAGCTAGAACAGCATTACCCTGCTTTCTGACCTTTCACTATCATTTCTGTATCATATCATATTTCGTTTCCTTTCCGGTACAGCATTTCGAGCATTTATACAGACCAGTTACAAAATTGCCGACACCGTTTACACTAAAAAAAATAGCCAAACAAGTGTGAGAGTGAGACATCCATCAGCCCGTGGCGTCCCTGACTCGAGTCAGCGCTAAAGCTACGATAGTGTGCATATTATTCCATAGCGCCATTGCGTCCATCCCAGGGCTGAACTGCAAGTGGATTTTGCAAAGTAGTAATATGAGGATGTGCAGAACGGATTAGATCTCTGTTTAACCGCCCCGTCAAGTGGAGCTCAGCATTGACGCCGAGGAGAAACGGCTCGAACTGAAGCTCGGGCTTCGACTACGGGGTCCCTTGCCTTCCCTAGGTATCGGCTATATCCCACCCGAACAGCGCCGAACTCGGGACCAGATAAGAAGATAAGATGTAGATCAGAGATAGGCTGCTACGTATGGATGCAGCTGAAGATTTCCTCTCTGGCCTTTGGACCACACTCCCAAGTCTGTCCTGCACAACGAACCCTAACTAGTCTTGCAAACCAGCCATAACCCGGTACCGACCCGCAGTCACCATACGCATCTTCTTGCCATACAGAACCATTGGAATAATAGTCAATGTAACTGCCAAGCTGATAAACCCGCACGCAATGAACATATTCTGCGCGCCTGAGCGCTCTAGCCACGGGCTAATCGCAAACGGGATCCCGATGCTAATGGCGTTGCGGAGGAAGGCTATGCCTGTGAAAGCGTCGCCGGTTATCTGGTATCATATGCTAGTTAGAAGAAACTTCTAGTGTATGGACTTCTGAAAAGGTAGGAACTTACATCGCGATAACTATCAATCACCAGCGTTAACGCCGCATCGCCAATACTGCCTAGTCCGAAGCCGAAAAGCGCACCGGCGATACTTGGCCAGATCCAGTGGAGGCCCTGATACCGGGTTAGCAGGTTCAACTTGATTGTCTCCTTCTGAGTGAAAATAAGATAAAAGGCTGATGGCTTACTCTGGCAATTGTAGTCCCGAACATAATCAAACCCCCAGCCAACGTCAAAGCCGGGAGATGCAGAATATACAACCTCATCTCCGGTTCATAGTAGCCCTTGTTCCGCCTCGCAAAGAACAAGATGGACCTATCGCCCAGAAAGCCACCGTAAGCTGAGCCGAGAAGGTTTCCGACGAACGGGCCAACGCTCATGAACCCAATCTGCTCTGGCGTGAAGTTGTACGGCGGGAGAGGGAAAACAAGACCCAGAACGCTGGAAAGGATTGTCAGCCATACCACGCCGAGCGCATATTGCAGGGCGCAGAATAGAACTGCCGGGAAGGTGGTTAGGACAACGAAGGGACGGTGGAAGTATGGCCAGATTGGCTCTGCGGTGTATGTCACCAGTGCTAGTCTCTGCCGCCAGGTCTTTAGTGGGATGGTGTAGTCTAGCTCGTGGTGCTGCGCAAGAGTGGTAGCGGATTCTTGCCGGCTTGTAGTGCGCTCGATGTCTGGCTGTTGGTCGGTTTTGATGTCCTTGACTGAGATATTTTGACTGTCGCCAGCTTGTACACTGCTGCTCACGCCCATAACTACCGGGGTATACTTGGTCTCCTCATAGAAGAATAAAAAAATACCGAATAGAACAGCATTTGCGATGCCTAATGCACGATAGGATGCCCGCCATCCTTCACGCGTGGCTTGCGTCCCAGCAGCCATGGGCGTTAGGAAGCTCTATAGTACGCCGCAATCAGTGCATGAACAAGAAATCAAGGATTGCGACTTACTCCAATCATAACCATGGTCATATATAACCCGTTCATTCCTCCACGATGATGCACAAAGAAGAGATCGGCAACCTATGGGCATGAGTCCGGCACACAATGCCTCTAAGCATACTGACATACCGTAATCTGAACGATTGACTCGTTGGTCGCGCCGGCCAGCCCATGTAAGAGATTGGTAATATACAACTCCGGCAGAGATTTCATCCACGCAGACCGGAAGGAAGCCACCATCATGATCGCCGTCGAAACGAGGTATACAGGTCTGCGTCCAAACTTCTTCGCAAGGGGGATGAAGAGAATGCAGCCCACGGAGAGACCGACGAAGTTGACAGACATGGCGTTGTTGAGCTGGGCATAGGTGACGTTCATATCTGACGCCATTAACTGCCAGAAGATTACCTGGATTGACAGGCTGATGTTGTCAATATATTTGTTTCTTCCGTGTCCAAGTAGCTGGGACTTACGCTGTGAATACCACCACCGTTACTGCTAGCACAAGAGTAAAGTTCACTGTCTTGCGCGCTGTACTCCAGTTCTGTCTCTGGCTTCAGTATCCATCTATTGAGTTGGATAAGAGGACGGCTGACCAGTGGCTCATTGGGGTCCCTCGACGGCACAGGGTGCAGGATAATCTGGGGTCGGTCATGATTCTCGCTCTCTCCAATTTCATCTGTAGATGAGGTTAATAACAAGTCGCAGTAAGCTCAAACAATATTTACATACTTTGGATAAGGAGAAAAGTGCCTGGTGGCTGATTGTGATCGGTGGACGGTATCCCGTGTTGATTCTGTGCCATTGAGACCAGCTTCTTTGAAAGCAGGGGAGGATACAGAAACAGGTAATGCTTGACAAAAAAGAGCTGCTTTATCCTGACTTTTATTCTTGCTAAAAAGAAGAGCTGATGATCGATATAAGAGTGCTACTGCTACTGCTACTGCTACCCATTGCAGCGGTGGTACTTAACGACCTGTGAACTACCGACGCGATAGTAAATCACGTACTGACGATAACACAACGAGCGCCTCACAAAGTCTATACAGTTGATAAAATGCGGGGAAACGCCACATTGGCCCAAGATAAGCACCGTGAAGTTAATGATGCGAGTCAAAATGTCAGTACTAGCGCAGGGGTCGACCTGCCTAATCGAGACGGCCGAGGAACAGCTGTTAATATGAAGGTCAGGCGGGCATGTCAGAATGAGTAGAACCTATATCGTTTGCTGCATTTACCGCGATTCGAAGTTGGCATACAGATACGGTCGCAATTGTTTTCAAGAAAAATACCAAAAAGGCAGGTCCTGCCAGGAAAACCTGCAGTCACTGTAGTGGTCCCGTCGGACAATTGCGCATGTCAACCTCAACGTCCACGCTGCCCTGAACATACATGTCCTAGCTGCATTTTGAACTAAACAGCCCAATACAGTGCCAACCATCTAGACGGAGTATATCATCATTCATCATAATGGTAACAAACCAGGAACTGCCTCTTTTCCAAGTCCACGACGGTAGGTCTCTATGTCTGCTATAAATACGACCAGCATATTAATTCAATATACCTAACAAGACAGACCCGGAATCAATCCGCGCAGTCGCAAATACAATTACCTCCTCTTTCGCCGAAGATCCGCTGATAAGATGGCTGCGCCCACTCGCCGGGCCGTGGTCAGCCAGCGATCCAAATACGTCCAAATGGCAGTATCGTCGAGTTCTGAGGGCTGTTGCGGATGGTATTGTGTTGGTCTCTGCTACCGTCACTGAGGTAGATCGAGAGTTCCATAAAGACGGCAAGTTATGTGAACGGTTGACTGTCGAACGGGATGCAGGCGCAGTGGCCTTGTTGTTTCCTCCTCGAAGAGGTTGCCGCTGGACCCTGGGCAGGATACTGCTTTGGTGGAAGGTATGGTTTCTTGATATTGTTAGCCCTGTCCACGAGAAGGGTGAGAATGACAAGGTACGCGTGCCAACCTAGTTTCTGAGAGCACTGAGACCACAAATAACAATGAGGATCTATATTAGAGGTTAAAACAACTGATGGATGCCCATGAACGGGTGGTTACGAACGTCCAAGACACATATCGCATTCCTGACCTGTGGTATCTAGAGGTTATCGCTGTACACCCCTGCCTCCAAGGTCGTGGGCTGGGGAGGAAGGCACTTCGTTCTGTGCTAGACCATACGAACGATGAGCCTGTCATCCTCGAGTGTACAAACGGGGATAATGTCGCGTTTTACGAACGACTTGGATTCAAAGTTGTAGAAGAAGTCGAGTTGGTTGAGGATGGTGCAGGAGTCAAGCTGTGGTTCATGCTGCGACAAGGCCTGCGAAAGCAGACGGACTGAACTCACTGTTCATTATGTGTCAAAGATATGTAAATAGAACAAGGAGTGACAGTGGATTCTAGAATAACCCCAACTCTATGCCCCTTGCCCGTGCAAGCTGATCAATATCAACTGCTCCAACTGGGTATGTCCAGTACTCTTCGAGCAAGTCCAGGAGAAGGCGGTATTGTCTATTCCAATATGGGTTCTCGGCGGTTAAAAGCAGGGTCTTTCGTATGAATTCCTTCACTGTCGGATCCCTTTGTAAAATATCACTCTGTAACCCGGCGACGCAGACCGGATACGCAATGGCATTGATGATGAGTGTGTCCCAGCGTTCTGGGTCTAGAGAGGCGCGACATACGGCATCCACCGAGCTTAAGAGCCGCGAAACTATGACCATTGTGGGAGTGAGAATGACTCCTCTTTGCATGGCCGGGTCTTTCGTTGCTTCTGTATCTGGAGGGCGTGGGAAGCCTGGTCCCCCATGTCGAACAACCAACACTCCAGCCAGTCGATACGCCTCCCACAATTGACACTGCATAAAGGTTCCCTTTGCGCCCGGCCAATCCCAAAAACTTGTCTCTGTCGTACCCTCGCCAATGAAGGCGAAGATTGTCACCAGAGACCTCGGTAGGCCAGTTACAACCTCAACCCCGGTCTCGATCTCTGCGGGGGAGTTGCCCTTGCAGCAGTACTGTCTCCAGAAGCCAAGATGCGGGTGCCGACGACCGATTGAAAATGTGGGGAGGTCCATGATACCCATCACCTCGAAGAGGTGGGCGCGGAATACATCTCGTTCTTGGTGTTTTTGTGGGCCGTCAACATCGTGAATGCGAAGAATGCTGTACATCCCTCGGAGGTGCATTGTCCATGGAATGCCGTGCATAACCTGAAAAACAGGATTTAGTTAATGGACTAGAAGAGGGAGTAATAGAACTGGTACCCACTCCAATCGTACACAAGAGTAGTCCCGCTGTCAAGGTCCCATCCTCTAGATCGTCCTCGCTCTTAGAAAGCTCCGCGCGGAATTTATTCAGTCCGAGGTCAAGATACTCGAGGGAACAGGCGGCCGGTTGTCGGTTTAGTGATGCTTGCAAAGCGATGCATATTCGATACAGCGCTTCGGATTGTTGGCATAGTACGGGAAGACGTGGTTTCAGCAAGGTCTGTTCGTCGTGGACTGTAGTTGAATGCAGGATATTAATGCCAGATGACAGAACTACGTCGCTATCGCATTAGCCTCGATTCGGTTTTGCTATATTATTGTTTATACTCACACTCTTGAAAGAGCTGCGCATCATCCTTGCCATGACCAGGGCCCGACAAATAGAATGGTACTGGGCCAAGTTTGAAATCTACCGGACAAAGCGTCAACGACTTGAATGTGCATACTGAAAGAAGAAATTGTGCAACGGACGTATACCTTCTTGAGCAAAATCTTGAGACGAAGATTCCTCAGTCACCTGCGTCTGTATTTCCCCTTCCTGTTCTCGCCGCCGAGCTCGATTTCGATCTCTCCGACGTCCAGGAACCCTCGGCGGAATCGACGTATCTACTGGTGCCTCGGCCCCGGTATAATGACCTCGCGATGCAATGCCGGATCCCCAGCGCAGACGCACTTCGTAGCCGTCGCATGGTATTCCCTGCTCGGTGCAGACTTGGCACGTCGGACGGGTACGGTCACACTTGCGATGCTTTGCCTTGCATGTCCAGCTATGACGGTCAAAGCTATCAGCTGCAGCCTGGAACATAAAGAAAGGGAGTGGATGCGAGGGGGATTGTTACCATCCGCCGTGCGAGCGACGAGCACGACTGGGGGTCGACATTCCTAATTGGGGTTGGGATACACAGAAACGAGAACTTGGGGGGGGGGGGGGGGAGAAGCTCGATTAAAAGTCCGGGGATTATAATGCGGGGGAGATAACGAAACCAGTGGATCTAACGGGGTCGACCTGCCATTTTGGAAGTAGCGTTGGACTGATATTGTTTAGACTTTAGCCTATAGATTAGACTTGGTAGTGGCTTGGTCGGTGCGGTTATCTTGGCGTAGGGTTGTATGGAGTATATGTCAAGCTCATGGACTGCCTATAGATATACAAGTTTTCAGGCAATCAGACTTCAATATGTCATTTCAAACTCCCGTCTCGAAATGTACGACCAAAATTCCATCGCTCGGTGAGCTCCAAGGGCTGCAATATGCAAATGGAGTGCAGCAGTTCTGCGGAATTCCGTACGCCGACTTGGCCAAGCGGTGGACAAGATCAACGCTGAAGACTGTTTGGAAGGGCTCTAGGCACGATGGAACCAAGTTAGGGTACGCCTCTGGCCTCCTCCGACATGTGATTTACAGAAGTTGACTGTATCTTTAGAAACAGCTGTCCCCACCCAGAACCTGATGAAGAGACCAACGACCTCGTTCCAGTCCCGCCAGCTGCTCACTTTTCTTATCCTCCAGAGGTAGATGAGTTGACTGGTCTTGTCATGAACATCGTGATTCCATCAAAGCCAAACAATCCCGACAAAAGATATCCCGTGATGGTCTACGTACATGGCGGCTCCCTGCTATACGGAGGAGCCAACCTTCCGATTTTCGACGCCGTGAACCTCGTCTCCCAGAGCATCAAAATGAGCACGCCAATCATATGCGTGAACTTCAACTACCGCGTCGGCCTCGGCGGATTCCTAGCTAGCGAAGAAATACAGCGAGAGCTAAGAGCAGACGGGTTCCAGGGCTGCGGCAATTTCGGCTTCACAGACCAACAAGTTGCATTCGAATGGGTGCAGCGGTATATCGATGCGCTAGGTGGTGATCCAAACAACGTCACTGCGATCGGCGAGTCTGCTGGCGGGATTTCGATAAGTAACCAGCTTGCTGCTGCGAGTCCGCCTCGTTTCCGACGCGCGGTTTGTATGTCTGGCCTGTCTGTCTCGATTCCACCGTGGACGATGGAGCAGCATGACGCGCTGTTTGAGGCTGTTTGTCGGTATTTCCGGATTGATTCCACCCGGTCTGATGTGCTGGACTCTCTCCGACAGATCCCGCAGCAAACTCTGGCAAACGCAACTCCCATCATCCAGGGGGTGCTATCTGGGACGGGGAATCCATGTCTCGACGGGTGGTTCTATAAGAACGACGCTGACCCGCGTGAAATCCAGACGGCACCACCGTGGCTTGACGCCCTAATGCTGGGCGATACCTACCATGAAGGAATTATCTTCCATTTGAACATCCTAGACGACAATTTCCACTCGATCCGTCAGACTCTCGCAGGGCACGTGGGAGCAGAAGACGAAACAGATCAAATACTCGCAGAGTACGGCATTAGCCCAGACCTCCCACATAGCCTGCTCATCGAGCGAGTCGAACATATGTGCGGAGATGCGGTATTCAAAATCCCCAACTATGCCACTACTCTGTCCAATTCGCATCTTGCGGACAAGGGCGCATTGTTTATGTACCATTTTGACCAGCGCTCGCGACTCAAGAACGCGCTGGAAGGGACCGCGTACCATGCGCATGAGCTCCTGTATCTGTTCCAGAACCTTACCAATGAGATGGATGAGGGCGAGAAAGCGATGGCGCGGGACTTTGCTGCTGCGTGGATTATGTTCTGTAATGGGCAAGTACCGTGGACTGGAGGTAAACGAGAGTGGAAAGTTTGGGGTCCGGAGAGTGTCCAGGCTATGCGGACGGAGGAGCAAGATGAAGAAATTCGCTCGTATACGAGAATGCAGCGGATTCTCTCCATGGGTAGTGGCGGGACTTGGAAAAGATGGCTTTCTGGGGTAGATGCGTTGGTGAATAAGAGAATGAATATGGGGAAAGCGGCCTAAGTTATGTATATACAGAGCCATAAGTTGTCTAGTTACGACTGAGGAGATATGTTTGCAATAGAGAAAGCGTAAACCGCCTTCTTAGCCCTCTCCTCCGTAACAAGCATCTGCTCAGGAAACCAAGAGAGGTCTACAGCCTCTCCATCCAACAGGTCATTATCATGACAGAGCAACATCGTCCCCAGCGCCTTCCCACACAGCCATGCCAACACCATTCCTTCTCCTGAAAACGCCGCAGAGACCCATTCAGCGCCTCCCTCTCGCTGCGCATCTTGACCCCTCCGCGTGAGTGACGCTGGGAGCCGTCCTACCCAAGGAAATCCATCAGCGCTGAAGCCCATATTCCCCGTCCACATCTGCTCAACAGCACGCACAGGCACAGCTCCCCAATTCTCACGACCAAATACCGCACTCAACGCCCCTGAAAGGTGGATGTCCGCATAGAGACTAAGCTCCGAGTCTGTAGAAACACCGAGGTCCGAGATCCCACCTCCTTCGCCCTGAGAGAATCCGCCTCCAAACATCATCATCCCGCCAGCATCCGAGGGCGACGGCGGCAGCTGCGTGAGATAATCAAATCCGCGGTCATAGTTGAAAAGCCATGAATGCTCCACTCCTTGACTTCGGAACTTTGTCCCAGGGTGCTGCGCGGACATCTGGCCGCGGACGGGACAGATACGGCCCTTCAGCCCGGGGACTAGATGAGCAACGTGGGCGTTTGTGCAGTGCACGACGTGGCGGGCGCGAATGGTACCTCGAGGTGTTGTCAATGTGTAGCGGGGTCCGTTTGGGGCCTTCCTCCTGTGATCTTCGATGTCGGTAACTGGCGTATTCGTTTCGATCTTCAAGTCGTCCGGGTATTTGGTCTTCAATTGACCCAGGACTCCGGTGATAAACCTGTAGGGCCAGATTGCACCTGCCGGGCCGGCGATGATTCCTTGGGCATAAGGAAGTGAAAACTCCTATATCGCTCATTAGGAAATATATACGAAGTATTGACATTTGCTTCCTACCGTTGGAATATCTTCCCTCTCATACAGCCTCCACTCCCCCGTCTCCTCCGGCAATCCCTCCCTCAAACGCTGAAAGCGATGTCGAGCCTCACTCCACCCCTTCTGGTTAAAGTAAACACTCAAGAACTGGACTTTCCGCGCCTGAGCTGTCTCCGTCAATCCATACTCCTGCGCTACAGCAAGGAGTTCCCGCAAATGTGCGAGCCGAAACCTCAATATCTTCCTCGCAGCGTCAGTCCCATGCGCTTCTTCCAGATCTGCGAATTCCTCCGCCGTCTCGAGGATATGGCCCCCATTACGGCCTGTTGCACCGCTACAAATGTCCCGGGCCTCTAGCATAACGATCGCGGGACGGCTGGTACGTTGTTGTCCCGGACCATTATTGCGAGGTTTTCGAGACTCCAGGAGTGTTCTTGCGATGGATGTTCCTGTTACGCCGGAGCCGATAATAACGATGTCTGCTTCAGCTGGTAATTTTGGTGACTGTATTTTTGCCAGATCAGGATGGGGCGAGCGCAGCCAGAAGGAAGATGTAGGGTCTGGTGTTGGGAGCCCGGGATCGGACAGCACTCTGTCTAGGGCTTCCTGGCGGTCTTGTAGTGGGATTCCGGGGTTGGAGAGGAGGGATTGGACGAGGAATGCCATAATGATTGTATATTCAGATTTATGTAGGTAGCAAGGCTTGTTTGAAGGGATTGGAGTCATTAGGTGGAAAGAAAGGGTAGGTATAAATGTCCCAGCTGATATCTAATGACTAACATTTCGTGGGATGGTAGTATGACTCTAGAGACGTCCGATAACAAAGAAGCTCATTCTAATATGGAAAGTCTATGCGGAAGAAACTGTCACCTAGTAAGCATTGCGATCTAAGTTCGTGCTTGCTGGAGCCCGCGGGCCCCAGGCTATCAATACACGATCTCTTAGATGGAGTTGGGGTCAACCTGCCTTTTCGGGCAACGGCTCTCTATGACAATAACGGACAGATGAGGCCGGGATATCTCATAATGTAACTGCCGATTCTTATCATAGATAAAGAGGCAATACTGACTTCATCACTTACCGGCAACATTATCCAACACCGTGCAGTAATCATGGCCACCACAAACAATGACTCCCCCGGAAATGCCTACTACCCAAATAGCCCCCCAATGCGAAGGCCAGGCCTGAAATTCATTTACCGCCTCGAGTGCACCATCGCCTCGGAAGAAATCAATATCGGTGCCCCCAACGGAACGGGCGTATTTCGGAGCATCGCGAACATAACAGGCGGTACATTCAAGGGGCCGAACCTTGAAGGAACCGTTCTTCCTCTGGGTGGTGCAGACTGGGCGACTGTTATCGAGGGCACGCATGTATGTCGCCTTTCCCGATCTTCCCCGGCCCGTATCGATATAGAGACCGTGCCACTAACAACATCAAAGTCCATGACCCTCGACGCACGATACACCATCAAGACAGTCGATGACCACTATCTCTTCGTGCAAGCGCACGGTCTCTACCGCCCCGGCCCGGGAACACAATATGCCAAACAGGTAGCCGAGAACCCAGCCATGAGACCACCGCCGACAGTTACACAAGATGACGTCGAGTTCTTCTCACATCTACGGATCGAGGCTGCGGGGAAATATAACTGGTTGAATGGACTGGTTTGTGTTGGGGTGATGAGTTGCGAGGATGAGCGTATCATTATCGATGCGTATTATTTGACGAATTTTGTTAGTATGAAGCCGGAAGATGTCATGATGAGACGGGAGAATTCATAGATACAGCCGGAGGTACTTAGAATCTCTTCTTCTGTCTTATGGTGTCGTATTTACCGTGATATGAGCCGTGTTCTCATCACTTGTCCTGTTTAGGAAGGTCGACGCATTCTCCTATCTGAAACTCTGGTAGATAGATTACCTCGTTGGTTTCTTAGTGCTGCCTATACTGTACCCCGCATAGCCTCGCATGTGTAAATGCCTGTACTCATTATTAGCGCCACAGCTATATAAGACAGTCGAGGCATGCCCTTATCAATATGTCCATAGAAGAAAAAATGACCATATCCCCTTCACCCAAGGCTGACTGGCAGGCCCTTGTCGCAGCAAAACGCAAACAACTAGACGCCCAAATCCCATCGGAATGGCGCCTCAGCGACGACTTCCGAGCCTCTGTCCCTGCCAATGGCCATCTAATCGAGGTTGACATTGCTCGCCGAAGCGGCATTCTCTCGGATAAAGAGCTAGACATCACGGAGAACTTCTCCGCGGTGGAATTATTAAAGAAGCTTGCCGAAAGAGAGTTTAGTTCAGTAGATGTCACGACGGCCTTCTGCAAAAGGGCGGCGATTGCGCAGCAGCTGGTAAGTGGCTTCTGCATCCATGGAGAGGTGCCCTCCATTATACAATGAGATACCGGCGACTGATTACGATAGACTTCATGTTTAACGGAACATTTCTTTCACAAAGCCATCGAGCGTGCGCAGTTCTTAGATGAATACCTGCAAAGAGAGAACAAGGTAATAGGTCCGCTTCACGGCCTTCCCATCAGCATCAAAGACAGTTTCTGCCTAGAGGGGATCCAGAGCACAGTTGGATATGTCTCGCTTCTTCAGAACGAGCCGGTGTCGCATAAATCAGCCCTTGTGGGGATTCTACTCGACCTTGGGGCAGTACTTTATGTGAAGACGAATATCCCTCAGACAATGATGGTCGGCTGCCCTACTCATGCATACCCTTGCATAACTGGGTTCAATGACTAACACAACACAGACAGGTGATTCCGAAAACAACGTCTTCGGCCGGACCTTAAATCCGCATAACACGAATCTAACAGCCGGAGGATCAAGCGGCGGAGAGGGAGCGCTGGTCGCCTTCCGCGGTTCGATCCTGGGCGTAGGAACCGACATCGCAGGGTCGATCCGCATTCCTTCTCTCTGCTGCGGTGTGTATGGCTTCAAGCCCACAACCGACCGCATTCCCTGGGGCGGCCAGGTAGCAGGTCTAGCCATGGAAGGGATTCCAGGACTCAAGCCATCCGCAGGGCCTCTGGCGCATAGCCTCGCAGATATCGAGCTCTTCATGTCGACGGTGCTGAAGGCTGAACCTTGGAAGTACGATGTCACTGCGAGTGCATCACCGTGGCAGGAGCTCCCACTAGCACCTGAGTACGGCTCACCAGACAGGTTAACCATAGGCATCCTCCCTGAGAGCAAGCACTTCCCACTACATCCTCCTGTGCGGAGAGCTCTAGAGTCCGCCATCAAAGCTCTATCCCAGCGCGGTCACCACATAGTCCGACTTCCAGATGACCCCTCGCGAGACCTCGCCTACGCAAGCCGCCTAGCATTCCAATACTTCATCTACGGACCGCACATCGACCACATCGCGTCTAGCGGGGAGCCGCTCGTGACATCGGTGGCTAAAATGTCTTCGCCGATGTTCACGGGCCCGTTTCCTGTCGATATGGAGCTCCCGCCGTTTGAAAAGATCAATGCGCTGCATACGGCACGAGAGGAGTATGCGGATGCATGGCGCAGGTGCTGGGTTGGGAATGGGCTAGATGTTGTCCTTGCGCCTGGGGCGCAGAATACGGCGGTCCCGCATGATACATTTGGGTGGCCTCCTTATACGGTTATTTGGAATTTACTGGATGTAAGTAGTCCGTTTACGGATACCTGGAGGCTATGTACTGACTACGATATCGTATAGTATCCTGCGTGTATCATCCCCTACGGCGAAGCTTCCAAGGAACTTGATCCTGTCCCCATGATTATTGACGATGGCGTCCAGCCTAGCTGTGAGTTTACACCATGAATATCTACTTCATAGAAGGTAGACTTGCTGATTAGGACAGATGACCCCGATGCTGTTGACGGAGCTCCCTCTGCCATCCAGGTAGTAGCTCCACGCTTCCAGGATGAAAAGTGCCTCCGTGCCGCGCGGATTATAGACGAGGCTATTCGATGAGTACATTTGTGTATTAGCTGGCACTCGTAGATTTGCTTTTCATATCTACCTATAAAAGAGGAGTAATGAGCAATGATCCTACTATGTGATATGATCTTCGCAGCCATAGGCTCAGTGGAGTCAGTGAATACCGAAGTAGACCTTTCCTCAATCCGGAAGTGCCACGAAACATTGAACATATTGCATATTCCAGATCCTCGAAGTACTACTAAAAAAGAAGAATGTTAGACTATAGTCTCTAGCTTTCACTTAACATTATCGGCCCTGCAAAAAGGTGGCTCAGCCGTCCTTCGGTGTCCGCGGACGGCGAGCGGACCACATGGAGCGGTATCAGAAAGTGAGACTATACAGATTCCGCCAACCATCTTCAACAGCGGACTAACTTCCCTCCGCTGAAGGATATCCATCGGTCAAAATTCTCCCCGCGTCTGCTATATAAAAATACATGTAACCGAGAGTAAGAGAAATGCCAAATTCCTCAGCTGGCTTCTCATACAGTCAATAGTCCTGATGACTGTTAAGGCGGCATTCGTTGGGGCTTCCGGAGCTACACTGCGCCATGTGCTAGCATCGACATTACTGGCGGGCCATCGCGCTGCTGCCCGTAAGTCACTCAGCCCACCTGCATTTTTTTTCCCACTTTGACTTATAAAGACCGTCGTAGTCGTCCGGGATGAATCCAAACTCAAAAAGATCTTGTCAGGTCTCGGCGTCTCTAACGAGATTGTCGAGTCACAACTCATCGTCACAGAAGGTTCATCCCGTGATGCAAAGGCGATGCTCAGGCTTCTTTGCAGCGATCCGGAACTCATCTTCAGTGGCGTCACGAGTCTTCCCAAGTTCTCACTTAATCCATTCCGCCCAATCGGCATGCAGGATGCCACCATCACGGGAGACTCTGCTATTGCAGCAATTAATGCTCTCCGTGAGCTGAGATCCACAGGCAGACTCTCAAACTCGCCCCTATACATACCGATATCGTCGACTGGTCATGGCTCGCAACGAGATCAGCCTCTTTTATTGATTCCACTTTACCTGTGGCTTCTGCCAATCGCCCAGGAGGACACTGCCGTTTTGGAGAAGGTTGTACGCGAAGCAGCCAAGGAAGCTGATTCGCCTCTTGGTGGCTACGTTATGCTACGACCGCCGCTGTTGACTCATGGTAAAATGAAAGGGCGTGAATCTATCCGAGTAGGTTGGATTTGGGAGGACGAGGTCTTCAAGAGCCAAGATGAGGAGGAGCAGGGCGTCGAGATTGGATGGACTATTAGTCGGCTGGACTTGGCAAAGTGGATGTTCGAAGAGCTTGTTCAAGGAGATGCTCACAAGTGGAAAGGGAAATGCATCAATCTTACATACTAGACACCTGTTCTCCGTTTCTTTTATAGCGAGTGTCCAAAAGCGAGTATCCTAGTTTGCTTAGCTCGGCAACCTCACCGCGAGTACAGGCTAAGTGGCATTCTCGGACGCTTTCCCCCTGTTTCCCACGTTAAAATATCGATGATTAATGGCAAACTCTTTAATTTTTCTGCATACTACTTGCACTCCTCTTCCTGGCACTCAACCAAAATCTAAGAAGCGGACGCAAAACACATCTCAAACACAAAAGTGCATTCGAAAAAATTCTCCATACCTCGTTTAGGACAGGCGGCGATTGCCTGCAGGTAATCTGGGGTAGGCGGGTGATCAGTGGGTGATCAGCGGGTGATGAGGGAGATCGTGATGAGCTTAACTCTTATCTTTCTACTGTTCTTGACGGAACTTTTGTTTTGTGACTGGACATCCTCAAATTGCGACCTCCTGCGTATACTAGAGGTCATGATGCAGGCAGTGTTTATAAGATAGTGTTTTAGGAGACCATACCCAAAACAGGAAAACTAACCAGAAAGGGAATTCACAGGTCCTCGCTTGACAGGGACAATATCCAACAGTTTGTCACTTTACTATATATCAAAAGGCTCACCCCAACACTCCACCCCTTCGTTGAGCCTAAACCTAACACTTTGCTGGGATATGGTATCTCCATTCGTCCGTTTCTTGTAAATGCGACTTTGCTTAGTCATGGTCGCTCATATATGTAGCAGAGCGAACCCCTCCTACAGGTTGATATTGTATTTTTCACTGTTCCTACACGTGCGGTAACTATGCCATCGTCGAAAATGTTCTTGAACAGCTGCGCCGTTCTGCTACACAGCGGGGATCTACATACACACACGCTCACATAGATAAGATAGACAGAATCATAATTGTATAGCTCCCATTATCGAGGTGAAATATATATTACCATTGTGCATATATATCGGCCCACAACACGGAGAATGTCATGCTCTCACAAGGGTCTGTGTTCCCGCAGGGACAGTACATGGACGTCGCTAACTCTTGCCTTTCTCGCCACTGCGATCACTGAACTAGATCATACGATGACCTTATTGATCCATAGTCGGTGTGGGAATCAATTGATTAAGTTCATCAATAAAGTTCAACACGAGACACTGGCCCGATGGTCTCAAGCCCGAACTTTGTCGTCCCGATCCAAAAAGTCGGAATCGACACTCGACGGGACAACGGATTAAAAGGAGGGAGAAACACATGACAGTGTGCCCTTCGGTCAGATCAGTAAATGCAGGTAGTTTGCGGTGCTGGGGTTGCGGGGCCCCGCAGTCGGAGGAATACGGCCATTCACATGCCCAACTGCAGGGAAACAGGAAGATTCTCGGTAAATATTTCAGGGAAACAGTCGGAGTGTGACTGGCTCTATGAGGGCAAACGATCATTCTCGAAGCACTTTGCCAGTAGAGTTCAGCCACTAACGCCGAGAGATGAGAAATGTTCCAATGGGAGAATCCTCGGCGGAAATGTTTGACTCGAACCAATCATCGTCTCGGGACGGCGTTTTGACTATAAACCATTTCTCCGGGGCACAGTTAAATCCCCCAGTCAGACTCAGCAGAGACTGCGACACAGACCGTCCGTCCGGCCCGGTGTCGCAGAAACTGGGGGAAGCCGAACGATGGTCCTCTCTCAGGCCTCCCGCTCTCCCCCATGGGGATACACGTTATCCACACCCACGGCCAGCTCTGCCCCGGTCGATCTGGGAAAGTCCCTCACCGGTCGTCTTGTCGAGTAAAGTCGCCTTCATGACTTTGGTTCGACTTTCTTGGCTGGATCTAGGCCTCGCGTGACGGATAAGGACTGGTATGGCGACTGGTCATCGTCGAGTCTACAACTTTCTATCCCCCGCCAAGATTGCAGGGATTAGACTTCCGCCAAGGAGGTAGAACCGAGTATGACTTGCTGACCGAATAAGATTCAACCGAGGAGTTGGTTGCGTCTTTTGCGGGCGGCATCGATTGGTTTGCCCCATGCTGCAGTGTAACTGTCTCACTTACTCCGTCACATAAAAGGCACCCCATCTCCCCGACATACCGGCATTGTCTCTTCTCCAGTCGACACCTCTTCTCCATCTGCTCATAATAATAATCGCACAATGGGGTTCATGCTCAAGAAGCCAGAAGGCGTGCCAGGCAAGTCCTGGCCGGCCATTGTCATCGGTCTTTTCGTCGCCTTTGGAGGTGTTCTCTTCGGGTAGGTTCTTTCACTCTTGAGTTCCACTTGCAATGATCTTGTCTCACCGATCTAGATATGACACAGGAACAATCAGCGGCATTCTTGCCATGCCCTACTGGCAAGCGCAATTCTCCACCGGCTACCGTGATTCCACCGGACACCCGAACGTCACCTCCTCTCAGTCTGCCGCCATCGTCTCCATCCTCTCTGCTGGTACATTTTTCGGTGCTCTGGCTGCTGCTCCCATGGGTGACCGGATCGGTCGTCGCTGGGGTCTGATTGCTTCGGCCCAGGTGTTTAACCTGGGAGTCATCCTGCAGACTGCCGCCACGGGTATCCCCCTCTTCCTGGCTGGTCGCTTCTTTGCCGGTCTCGGTGTCGGTCTGATCTCTGCTTTGAGTATGTCTTCTCCCATTGTCTTGAAGGATCCTGCTAATGGACAGTCCCTCTTTACCAATCTGAAACCGCACCCAAGTGGATTCGAGGCACTATCGTCGGTGCCTACCAGCTCTCCATCACCATCGGTCTCCTGCTGGCCTCGATCGTCAACAACTCAACCCAGCACCGCATGGATACCGGCAGCTACCGCATCCCCATCGCTGTCCAGTTTGCCTGGTCCATCATTCTTGTTGGCGGTATGCTGATCCTCCCTGACACGCCCCGGTACATGATCAAGAACGGCAACGTCGAAGGCGCTGCTAAAGCCCTTGGCCGTCTCCGCCGCCTCCCTGCCGATGACTCGGCTGTCCGTGAGGAACTGGCCGAGATCCAGGCCAACCACGAATATGAGCTCAGCCTTGGCAAATCCACCTACCTCGACTGCTTCAAGGGCAACCTGCTCAAGCGGCTCCTGACTGGCTGCGGCCTGCAGGCCCTGCAGCAGCTCTCCGGCATCAACTTCATTTTCTACTACGGCACCCAGTTCTTCAAGAACTCCGGCTTCAAGAACTCCTTCACCATCAGTCTGATCACCAACTGCGTCAACGTTGGCTCCACCTTCCCCGGCCTCTATGCCATTGAGAAATGGGGTCGCCGCCCCGTCCTCTTCTGGGGAGCCGTCGGCATGTGCGTCTCGCAGTTCCTCGTTGCCATCCTCGGCACCACCACCACCGGCCAGGACGCCAACGGCGTCGTCATCGTCCACAACGAGCCCGCCCAAAAGGCCGCCATCGCCTTCATCTGCATCTACATCTTCTTCTTCGCCTCGACCTGGGGCCCCAGCGCCTGGGTCGTCACCGGCGAGATCTTCCCCCTCAAGATCCGCGCCAAGTCCCTCTCCATGACCACCGCCACCAACTGGCTGCTCAACTGGGCCATCGCCTACTCCACCCCGTATCTGGTCGACTACGGCCCGGGCAACGCCAACCTGCAGTCCAAGATCTTCTTCATCTGGGGCGGCTGCTGCTTCCTCTGCATCTCGTTTGTGTACTTTATGATCTACGAGACCAAGGGCCTTACCCTCGAGCAGGTGGATGAGCTGTACGGCGAGGTGAGCAGTGCCCGGCTGAGCAAGCACTGGACTCCCACCATTACCTTCCGCGAGATGCAGCAGGAGAAGGCTCGGGATTCGCATTTGGAGACTGCCGAAGAGACTGTTCCTAAGACGGCATGATTGACGCCGTGATACGTATTGGCTTTTGTGGTGTGGAAGTGATGTAGTATATATAATACGATGGTTGACATTTATCCTGTGATATATGGCCAACCAACCTAGATGAGGAATTCATGTTTAATGCACGATGACAAGACAGACATAATGAAGCACTTGTAAAAGCCACTAACTCATAGATACTAATCATGCGAATATGGAGAGAGACATGCAAAGGAAACAAACTCAAAGGCCCTCGAACCTGTCAGGAGGTCGTATCCTTCGATGATTTTTCCGAGTATCTAAACGCTCCATGTGATAGTTTTTTGAGAATCAACCTTCACTTACGTTTGCCTCCTCATCATCCCTTTTCTCGTCATTACTCTGCTGCCCCTCCAATTGAATGTATTTCATGCAAGTTCGGTGTATTTGGCGTAACCAGTTATTTAGTTCATGCCAGCAGACCCTCTCTAAAGGCTGGAAAGACTGATGCGGAGATTCGCCCAATGATCAATATGCCGACTGAAGTCCACTTATCCCGTCACCAAGAACCTCTGGACTGAAACACAGAGATTAAAACGTAATCAGTCAGGAAGCAGCATTATCCACGCGGGATCGTTCTGCGAGCCCTTATATTGATTTCAGGTTGCGCTGTCGTGTTGCCGGAACAAGAAAGCAATGGGAGTATCGCAGTCATCGACTGTTGCGGATCGCAATGATATTAATTCCACCATATGGATGACAACATGCTGGAACAATGATCAATAGCACAACTTGTCCGGAATTAGACAGTATGTCCACGCTCATGCGGAATTCGGTAGCTGGCCATACCATTGGACTCCTCACCAACGGGCGATCCTTCAAGTATGCGGAGGAAAAGGACCCGTCACTATGGAAGCGATACAACTAACCTCGAGAAATCAGGTCGCATGGCTTTTACCGGTCGCACCGATGGGGATAGCGTTGCAGATGAGGACGTGTTTGCCAACACGGCATCTGAACCGGCGATTCCGTCCTCAGTGTGGGAGCATCATGGACGTCGATTCCAAGACCTCACAGGTGTGCGGATCAATCCGGAGCATGGGAAAGATCCCAATGTCATGAAGTGGAGGGATGGGAATGATTCAGAGGTTTGCAGTCCCGCCTATACCATTAGTGTGATTGATGCTGATGAGGTAGAATCCTCACTGTGATGCAGGATTTTCATGTCAGCCATATGACCACAACGCTGAGCTGGGCCTGTTCATTGCTGGATACGGCTAATTTGGTCACCCATGAGTGAGGTTCCTTGCATAGGACGTGATCCAGCATATATCTTCACATTGGCTATCTTCGTTGCCCTAAAAGTCCCGACAGCCTTGGTGGGGGATCTAGTGACACTGCTTGAATTTTTATTTCTGACTGGATTTCTTGGATCGTCTGGTCTAGCTATGGTATGGATCCTTGTAACTAGAGTGATAGCCAGCTAATATAAGCAGGGCGGCACTACAATTGCTGACATGTTGCGACTAGCAAAATGTGCCTTTGCAATTGGCATCTTGGGAATCAGTGCTGTGAGCGGTCCTGTGATGGACCATTGGTTGGAGGATTTGCAGCGCAAGCAAAATAATGAACTATCTAGGAACTGATATGGTTGTTGAGATTCTCACTTCTGATGTTGCTGTTCTTCCTCCCGGAGACACCATCAGTGAATATCCTCTATCGACGTGCATATCGGCTGCGCTAACTGCCTAGATGAGAGATCCTAAAGTGCGAGCCACAGATCAAAAGTGAAGATCTTACTGGACGAGAAATCCTCATGATTGTACAGGTCGGACTGTTTACTCTCAACTTTACGCAGCCCATAGTCTTCCTTCTCAATCCCTATATTGTGCTCCTCTACGGCCTTCTGTACATCTTGTCCAAGTCCTTTCCCATCGCCTTCGGGGGAATCTACTACTTTAACCTCGGCCACTAGGCCTTGCTTTCCTCGGTATCCTCGTCGCCGCTCTTCTGACCATTCCGCCGTACTACTGGTGAATGCACAAGTACCTCAAGCCCCATTTCAACAAAAACAACAACATTTCACCAGAAGCTCGTCTTGCACCTGCCATCCTCGGCGCTTGTCTCATCCCACGTCCGTCTATTCTGGTTCGGCTGGAGCGCACGGCCGGAAATCCACTGGATCATACATATCATCAGCTCCAGTTTCTTAGCAGTGGGTGCTTTTCTTCTGTTGAACTCTATTCTGAATTATCTCCCAACGCGTATCCGGCTTGTTCGGCGTCGGTGCTTGGGGCGAACGATCTCTTCCAGTTAGGTTTCGGTGCGGGATTTCCCTTGTTGGCGACAGTGATGTAGCAAAAGGTTGGGGTGGGGTGGGCGAGTTCCACGCTGGCGTTTTTGCCTATTGCGTTCATACTTATTCTGTTTGTTTTCATAAGAGTGAGTCTCTGTCTCTATTTTCCAGAGTACATATTAACCTGGGTAGGCTGGGGCCACGCTGAGGAAGAAGTATAGTAGGCATGCGCGGAAGGATATATAGATCCCTTATTTGCAAATCTGGAATACCCGTGCGGCTTGACTGAATCTGGGATGCTATTCTGGAGGAAAGTAGACTTAATTTTGTCGATCAAGTTTCAGATCATGGACTGTTTATGGCAATGTTGCCCTAGAAATATTGCTTATCCATGTGATCGCAGTTGCTGTTTTGCTTCTCCATGGCCCCTCAACCCAACCTTCAACAATCCTATTTCCGTTCTCTTAAATTTTGTGAGACGCTTGCAGACACTAAACTCACATGAATACATTATGCGACGTAGATAAAGCCAACAAAATACAAAGGTCCAGAAAAGAGGTGATGTCATTGTTTCCCCTTGGAAATACTTCTCATTAAACACAGTTAACGAATACGGACGCCTGCTGGCTAAGGAAAGCTATATCTACATAGGATGAGTCGTTGCCATAGCTACGTTTATGAATGATCTGGCCACATATCCCACTTAGGAAATCAAATATGTCTGTTCTGTCAGAACTGAGTCACCCCTCGTATTCATGCGGCCGAGGTCTACGGTTTCAAAGACTCGTATTACAAGGAGGCTGAGACAATCCAGGGAAACGGTTGATTCGGGGCGTTCCCAACCACCACTCAACAACTGGGTACATATAAAGCTGTGAGGACACGAGATGTGAGATGCTGATATATAGTCACATCTCCCACCCCGCATCAAGACACAACCAGCAACATCAGTCACAATGTCAGATCAAAAGTCCTACACCGCAAGCTGCCACTGCGGCGCCGTCAAACTCTCCTTCTCCACCTCCCCTCCAATCGAAGAAACGGAGGTCGTCTCATGCAACTGTACAACTCCCAATCTTGGCATCGTACCTCCAGCTGACAGACACAGGCTCCATCTGCCACATCAACGGCTACATGCTCACTTTCGTCCCCACCTCAAAGGTTACCTTTGAGATGGACAAGGACGCAGTTACAGTATCCTAACTCCCCGTTCTAGCGTCTATACACTGGGTTAATGAAGCCAGGAATACCGCTTCGCATCGCGCAATTATCCGCATTATTTCTGTCGCACTTGTGGGACGAGCGTGTATGCTCAGTCTTCGCTTCCGGGTGAGGATCAGCCTACAGCGATTAATGTATGTTTGTCCTGTCCCTGGATGTAATAATGGGCAATGCTGAGGGTGTAGGTACGCGCGATCCCTGGGATTGATATCAAGGCGTTGAAGTTTAAAGAGTATGATGGGAAGAAATTGTGATTTTGATCGATCTTATTTGTCAAGGATCTCATTTGATTGTGGATATTTGGACGCGGACGCGACTTGTTAATGGTAAGGGGAGTGAGTGGTGTTCTGTGGCGAGAGGATAAGGTGTTTGTGAAGAAAATTTATCTTGATCTCAGTAATCGATGAGCTATCCATTTTCGAGCTTACACGTACAAGGTGTGGGGAAGTGTATATCACTACTGATAATCCTTCTCATCCGTCATAAACTCCTCATCATTCAGGTGTCTGAACCTCCACCAGAATACCACCGTCTGCACAGCCAACGCAATACCCGGCGCGGCCCAGATCCAAATTAGCCATGGGTCCCTCGTCGCCGGAATCAATATCTCCCCCAGTGCACTGGACAGTGCATTCATAAACAAAAACACAGCCACGACTAGGCCACGCATGCTCGGCGGCGCCCGCGAATACGCCACCTCATACGCCGTGACATTGCAGAAACACTCCGAGAGCGCACCCAGCACCGTGTTCGGGATCTGCCACCAAATACTCAGTGGGCTGACGCCATCGCATGTCGAGGCTTGGTAGCCACAGGGTGAGGTCTCGTACACGCGCCACTGGACTATCGCTGCGATGACGCTGGAGATGGTTGCTAGGACGAATCCGAAGGCGATCCGGCTTGCGGGGCCGAAGGAGATCCGGTGCTTCGCGAGAGTGGGGTAGACGACGTGGCTGAGGAGGGGAATCGTGATGATGATTGTCAAGGCGTTGAAATTGTTGAGGAGATCATTGGGGGCGCCATTGGTAGTCATCGAGGCACCTTGATTACTGGCGACGGAGCCGATGCCACCGTCGTTCAGAATCCAGAGGGGAAAGTAGAAGAAGACTTCGGTGGCCACTGTGCGACTCTGATTGTTAGAGTAGTTTCTGAAAGCTTTAGGGTTAACCGACCTAACGTCCGTCGAACATCGTCCACAAGCTTCTCGCTCCAATCTACCTCGATCCCTTCCGCGGCGAGCGCGCTCGGCTTAGCGGCGTCAAAGAAATTCTTGTTCCAAACGCGGTATTTGTTGCGTCGGAGAGCGGTTGAGATGATCTTCACGGCCTTGGTAAGATCGGAACTGCCGCTCGGAGGTTGTTTGTACGTCTTCTTATACACCAACGCCAGCACAACCGGGAGAAGAAAGTATATCGCTCCCGCCAGCACCCACGACAGCCAGAACCCGACATATTTCTCCGCGTACGCGGTGGGAAGCATATAAAATGCCCCAACGTTCACGAACGCGTAGAATATCAGCATCGTTCGCGTGGTGGTCAACTCCGGATCGACAATGACCTTCTCGCCTGTCTTCAGGACCTTCGTGTACTGCTTCTTTTGGCGATTCTGGTCGAGGATCGTGGGTGCGATGTTTGGCTTGAAGATCCCAGCCCCAAGCGCCAGAAGGAGAAGGCCGATTACGAACGGAGGCGCGGCGTGGGCTGGGCCTTTCTGGAGGACGGACGGTATAGCGCCGATGATCTGGATTATATGTGCGATGCCGCAGATTGCTACACCAACGCAGATTGCCTTGTACCGGCCCACATAGACGTCGGCCCACCTACGCTGTCAGAAGGGTTTACCAAAAATGGGGACCAACTTACCATCCACCGAGAATAGGCAGGACATAAGCCAGGAAGGTGAACAGGAGGACTAGTCCCGAGCTAGCCTGCAGGCCCATTCCCAAAGCACCGGCCGTCTCCTGTGTGCCCCTCGGGGGAGCGCCGGCTCCATTTCCACCTGTCTTCAGTTAGCTTTTGTCCGTAAGACGAACACGGGTAGCAGTATACCCTTTGGAAGAGGAAATTGGATGAAATTTGAAAAGATATTCTTGGCGCCATAGTAGGATGCACGCTCCGCGAATTCGACAATACACAGCGAAAACGACACCAGAGGGAGGGTCGCGGGGACTTTGCGCAGGGAGATCTTTTCTTCTTCTGTGGGAGCAGGGTAGTCGTCGGTTTCGGTAGACGTGGCTGTGATTTCGTAGTCGTGCTTTTCGAGGTCGCCTTTGGCGTTGATCGAACTGGTAGTTATCGCGTTGCTGGCAATGGTATCACCTGGTGGAGCTGGTATTGTCAGTATAGCTAGGCAACGGGCCGGACAAACATACACATCTTGATCTGCGATGAGACTGGTTGATGGTTCCAGACGAGAAGATGGATGGTCCCTTTTTATCGACGCTCACCTGGTCGCGCCATCGAGATCTGTTCTTTGCATTTAGGCAAAGGACGGACTCCGTCGGTAACACGATCATGCAGCATTCGCTGGCATTTAGTCCGGAGTATTAATTGAGGTTCATTGGACAGAGCCATTTGAGGTCTGTGTATGCAATGTAACCTCAGGTGCGATTTGTTGCTTAGCCGTGCTTATCGGGGAAAGGCTGCAAGCTAAAGCACGTTGATCAATTCGAGTCCACTATCGCGCCATCAGGTCTGTCCGGCATTTGTTCTGTCAACAAGCTAGCATCTCACTTTGCCCCATTTGTAAGGATTGCTGGGTCCTGGAAGCTTCTGGATGTTTTCGCCATTTCTTTGTGCCAGTGCTTCATCGTGTCTGTCAAACGTAAAATCGCCGGGACGGTAGAAGGAAACGTGGTATCCACGTGCCACAAAGATTTAGGCACTATTGAGGTCAGTTCTGGATAAAATACTCATGTACAACCCCTTGCCTTGACCTCGTGGCGATTCGAGTTTAAGAGGGAGAGAACCACTGTGGCTCGGAGATCAAAACCATTGGGTAACTTCCCAGGGACTTAATTTGATCAATAAACATACTGTGCCGTACGATGTTCACTATAGGCTGGAATGACACATTGAGGATGGTACTCAACGTCAATAACGTGATTCTGTTGAGAATAGTTAGTTGCCACACATACTTCTCTGTTGAAAAACTTGACGTATTGCGCCGAGGACAGTCTTCTGTTGTCTGGTTGGTTCGTGGTAGAAAGTTGCTAGTCCCTAGATTCTCGAGTGTGCAAACTGAGCATGGCGTTGTGTTGGAGTGTTCTTCATGACTGCATGTACTCTCTTATCTCCAGATCCTGGGTTGTCCGCGGGGACTGATGTTGCCTACACCAGCGAAGCCTACTACTAGACCTACATACAGCTTTTACTGCTTGAGTCTATATATAGGACCGGATGACATAGCTGCGTTTATAATCTGGGCAATTGTGCATGTGTCCCATTACTATTTGAACGAATGTTGGTTATGGTGAGAGACAGTAAAGGAAAGAAATGAAAGAGAAGAAAAGAGGAGGATAAGTACTTTTTTTGTCTACTAGCTTTGCTCGATGAGCATTCACCATCTTTCAGCACATCGTCCTAAAAGGGCATAGTGAGGCCATAGGCCATATCAAAACAAAACTGCTTTGCAAAGTGGATGTGTTTCGCCCTTTCCCTTTCCTGCTACTTCTAACTACCATCTTTCCCCTTTCTCCATTTCGATCTGTCAGCAATCCTTCCAATATGTCTTCCACTACCTTCAGTCAACACCAACCAGCAGCTTCCTCCGGCTCGGGTGGGAGGAATCCCAACAAGGGGGATGAGGGCAATGGCCGCACTCACGGTGGGCAGAAGCCAGCCCGCATCATGGTACGCACCAATACGTCACTCTCACTTTAAATATTCTGACGATGCATATCACAATACAGGAGGTGCGGTGCAAGCTGTGCTAGCGGCGCGGCTATAAGGAGGGAGATTGCCTCTCACGTGCCGGGCCCTCGAACGCCCAAGTAAGGACAGATAACACTCCTACCACACTATATGAGTTAATGTCAGTTTAATAGAACTCCACCTCGAGGCGGACCAATCCCCCAGCGGCGGCGCCGGAAGGAGGGAATGAATGCCAGATACCGTTGCAGGATGCGCAGACAGCAGGAGCGACAGCAGCAGTAACAGCAGCACCTGGAGGAAACGCGAGGAGAATGTGCAGCTGCATCTGCAGCTTCAGCAACTTTCGCACGGATTAGAGGAATTGAGAGGGGAAAATGCGCAGTTGCGGGAGGTGGGCCGGCAGCTCTATTTGGAGCTGCTGGATGGCCACCTCCAACAAAGCCAGCGGCCAGTCGAGGGTCATGATGATGAAAAAGAGGAAGATGGAGACCAGTATCCATGACGTAGTTAGCTAGAGAATAGCCTCAAGAATCGGGAACTTGCTTGCTCGTCTGCGATTAGGAATATGCAAGTATGCCCAAAGAAGCTGGCTTCTTTTCACTCATATGGTAGAGCATACGAACAACCGTCGAAGATCAAAGAGAGCAACCGCTCTTTGAATGACCTGTAATGTAGCTGTTGCTTCCTAGGTATAAGTACCAATGGCTAAACCTTCGTACACTGTGATTTCGTATGGAGATCGAGGACATATGATCTTTTATGTGGGTAATCTTATTAAGCGTTGTGTTACTGGGTATACAGCATTGCAATTATCTCTCTTCAGAGAGCGCCGTGTATACGAGTCATCAGCTCGTGCTCATCATATACCTGCCTTACATGCTGCTACTACCAATTAAATGGCTTGATGAGGCCTCCGAACTGGCTCAGGTGAGTTGGCAAGGACCCCAAGAGCCTGAAAGTTGACCTAACCCGGTCAATTACAAAGAAAGGAAAAATTGTAAGAGGTTGGGACTTTTCGAGTCGACTCTGTAGCCCAGACCATTCCACTCCATGCCATTTCCCCTTCTTTAAATCCGTCATGCATAAGGCAATCCATGCCTACGGCTGGCCCTTCGACAATGCCTGTTATCAGCTCAACTGGGCGAGCCTCCGGGAAAAGGTGTATTTGAATTGCTTGAGCTGGCCATAGTCGATGGGATCAAAGCCATCGGACGGGAGAATTGTCAATGCGAGTAATGCTTTGTCCGAGGTCAATGATGCTTTCTTTGGCGTTAATTGAGCTTCAAACGTTAGCACAACTCTTCAAAGCACAACAGAAGGAAGACCAAACACAAGTAACAGAAAGATTCGGAGCAATAGGATACTTACAGGCTCATATTTCCACTCATGGCGGAAGGGAGAGACGCAGGGCTTGAAGCGCGTATTGAAGCCAGTATCAACGCACGGTGGATCTGTTGTTGCCTGTCTTCGTTAATTCAAGATCTGACAAACATTTCAGTGACGAACGTGTAGAATTACTCAACAGGACGGCACTCACTTCAAGTCTCTGTGAATCCATCGATGTTGTTATACACCGCGCGGGGGCTAGGGAATGATTCGAGTCGCCAGTCGCAATCATCTCATGAGGGAAAATCGGCTCGCTGTAGGTACATGGAAACATTCTGTTATGGGAGACATGAACCCACCATTCCCTTTTGGGAAGTGTTGTGTGGTGATGGTGATTGACCACTGCGCAACACTGGCAGTTGTAGATAGATTCTTTTCTTCCTCTTCTCTCTCTCCTTTCTTCTTCCCTTTCTCTTCCCATCGCCAAAACTCAAGAAGACAGTATCGCTGAACAAGCAAGCTCAATCAATATGAGTACGGCAGTCCAAGGTTTCAATGCAAACATGCATGCCTCCATTGCCGCATCTGGTTCTGGTGGGAGACGCCCCGATCGCGGCAACGGTGGTCTGCGTCCACCTGATCGGGGGCTGGGCAAGGTGACGAAGAAGACGAAGAAGGTATGTCCATGGAGCGACAGCTTCCGCGGGAAAATACTCACCCGCATTTGTTAGTAGGGCAAGAAATGCCTGGCTTGTCAAAAATAGGGACACACTGTGGAGGAGTGCCATCTTTACAGTGCTGTTCTCTGTAATATTACTCTCTTGATAGTGTGTTTGATTCTCCTAAACATTATAAATAGTTTAAATCTAATGGATTTGAATTAGGCAAGGATTCTTGCTACTGAAATATGTAGCAGTCCTCAGACCAGGGTCCTCCCTACTGGAAGAAGTAGCTGCCCTCTGGTTACTTATTACCACCCTCTGGGCGCGCCGCAGCAGCGCCCTCGTATAAGCTTGAGGCAATGTCGCACGGCACGTCGGCTGGCAGAGCGGCAGCAGCAGGAGGCGCAGGAGCAGCTGGGACGCTAGGAGCACGCCCCTCAGGAGCAGCTCCCCCAGCAGCAGTCTCCCCAAGATCAGCGCCCCCAGCGCTCAGCAGAGTCGCGAATGCGGCCAGCTCCACGGGTAGCTCCCGAGGAAGCGTCATGCTCTGACCAAATGGAACTCGATGAGTAAAATAATACACAGTGAGAGATCCTTAATATGACGGCACTACAATATGTGATCGTCACCTTTGATGGGCACTGCAATGTGTCCTGATCACCTTTGATAGCGCTACAATATGTCCCCTGAACCAATTTATGGACGAAAATCCTGCGCAAGTAGGTGCCTGGTCGCCATCTCCGATGATCATCCGTCCAGGCCTCCGGCGATAAGCTCATACCTCACCGTGGTGCTGGAGTCTAGTAACCAGCTTCCGATCTGGACTGGTGAAGCTAAGATGAGCTTGCTCTCATATATAAGCTTTAGTTTTGATACACGAGCGACCCCTTCTGTTGATTTTTTTCAAGTAATGGAAAATTGAGTCCGATTGTCCAGCAAATACAATTGCGTCAACAACATTAAATTCCTTCTTTGTAGAGTACACTTGTATTTTGCTCAACCATTGTACATGGGCCCCTACGTTATCGATCGTACCTCAACTCACCTTGCGTTCAGACCGGATAATATACTACGGTGGTTATGTCTTAAGGGATCCAGCAAAGAAAACTAGTACTAGCTGCACAGCATAGCCTTTAGGCCTCGGGAACAGAATAACATTGGTTATATGATTATAGGAAGTAACTGCACCGAGCTATTTGTCAACTATGTCCTGCGTAGTAGCGATAGTAGAAGGGTGTGCTCAGCATGCTAACCCCGTTTACTCTTTTGAACGAGTGATTCGGATACAGGACTTTCCATGAGACCTTGGGCGGTAGCGTTGCAAACTTCCCATACTTTGCAGTATTTTCCCATCAGAGCAATACCTTTAAGTGAGATAGACTACCCAAAGATGTGCACTAGAGATAAGGTATTGACTACTCTTTATATCAGTAATCCGCTGAACGGCTTGGAACCCAGATACTGGAGTGGCAACTATATAGGTACATTGTGCATACTATGTGCTTGCTGCATGTTGTACCTCTAGTGTATTTGGGGAAGATCCATAAACAAAAGTGAATGAATGACCACCAGACAACACTAGGAGGCGAGACGCCATCATACCCCTCGCACAAACACTCGCTGTGGACAATTTTTTTTATTTCCCCATCCTCTTCTCTTCTCCCTCTTTTTGCCTCCTGCCCTTCGAGCTATCACCACAACCACCATTGCTATTTTCTCATCAGCAGAAATGGCTACTCAGATGGCTTCGGTTACGACCTCCGATTCGGCTACATCTCGTCAGCCAGCTGCTGCCTCTGGTTCCAGTGGGAGAAATCCTGACCGGAACAATGGCGACCGGCGCGGCCCTGGCGAGGGCAAGGTGAAGAAGGCAAAGAAGGTAGCACTAGCAAAAATCCATCTAATTTATTGAAGCTAACAGTGTACCGTACAGAAGGGCCAGTGGTGTGTTCTCTGTCGACGCTGGGGTCACGGCGCTGCGAAGTGTCGTGTTGGTGCCCGCGCCCTGGCCGCCGTGGTAAGACTGCTACTGCTACTCTTATGCTAAAGTTATGCTGACTATGACTTCTCGTTACAGGCTGCGGCATCCCAGAACCTGGGACATCCTCCCCCTCCTCCCCCCTCTTCCCCTCCCCGTCCTCGTGGCTGGCAGGATCGTCCTCGCATGGACGGCCCAAATAGCCGGGAGCGTCGTAGGGAACGGCGCCAGCTGCAGCGCCTGCAGCAGCAAAGGGAGGAGGATCAGCAGCGGCAAGTACAAGGCCAGGAAGATGAACGGGACCAACGGGTTGATTCGCCTCAGGGCGAAAAGAAGGACACTACTCATGAGGCTGATCACCAGTGAGGCCCGCGTGTTCCTTCGGCGCTGGATAAGTGTCCTTATGTCCCTGGCGGCACTGGAGAAGTGTCCTTATGTCCCTGTCGGCACTGAAGAAGTGCCCTTGCTTTCTGACTGACGGCACTGGAGAAGTGCCCTCACTACCTGACTGACGGCACTGAAGAAGTGTCCTCATGTCCTGACTGACGGCACTGAAGAAGTGTCCTCATTTTCTGACTGATGGCACTGAAGAAGTGTTTTTATTTTCTGACTGATGGCACTGAAGAAGTGTCCTTACTTCCTGACTGACGGCACTGAAGAAGTGTCCTCACTTCCTGACTGACGGCACTGAAGAAGTGTCCTCATTTTCTGACTGACGGCACTGAAGAAGTGCCCTCATTTACGCCCACAAGTTTTGTGGTGATCTGTTGTGGACACTGAACAAGTGTTCTCGTGCGGCTGGCGCTGAGAATGTGCCCCCGACACGTTGACTGAAATTCTACTGAGGAAGTAGGTGCCTGGCGGTCATCTTCGATGGCCTCCAGGCCTCCAGCGATAAGCTCACACCTCACCGTGGTGCTGGAGTCTAGTAACTTGTTTCTTTTGAACAGGTGAAGCTAAGATGAGCTTTCCTTGTATGTAGCCATTGCTCTGCATATAGCATTCTGCACTTGAATTGCTGGTTTTCTCATATACAATCAAATCGAGAAAATAAAGTAAAATAAAGTTGACTTACGAGAGTATTTATTTTCTACCCATCTCCAGTCCTTGCTTCCTTCTTCTCAGCTGCGACGTCGCAAACGACCTAAACCCAGCCCAGCCGATGGAGCCAGAACTGGAATCTAGCGTTCACGGCCATTTTACTCATACTTTCTGCTGGGTGATCAGCGAATCGACTACTCAAATGAGGGCTCTGGCTGTGCACCATTCAAGTAGTCATCCTCTGTATCTCGACTCATGGCCATAAGGACCTAGGTGCCGAAGGCAACTGAAAGCAACCAGAGGTGTATTTTCGTACCCTCTTCCTTACCCAGTGATGAATAGGGAAGAGACCCTCTTATTGAACGGTTTCGTGGCTTCTACCCACTTCCTTCGGCTTCCGTTAGGAACGTTGGGAAAGGTGTCCTTGGAGAGCTATGCGCCACTCCTCACCAAAGAGGCCTTTCATGCCAAGAACCCTAGGCTGGACTGGCTATGGCCTGGGTGCTCTTGACTTTAGTGCCTCTCACCGGTGTATTTGTAGCCTTTCAGCCCCAGTGGTTGCCTTATAGCGTATCTGGGTTGAGTATTCAGCTTCTTTAGATATACCCCCAATCAGGTCGAGGATGGACGGACTAGAGCGGGGGGACGGGGGTTAATCCCAGCATTTCGGGGTACGATAAAGCCCCAAAACTTTAAGAACGACGTATCGCCAGACGCTCGCATCTCAAATATGTGGAATATTGCACCCAAGAGGAAGACCCTACGTAGAGTTTTATTTTGACTACCAAGCATTATATATATCTGGAAGTAGAAGTGGTATAAGCGCGGGGATAGATATCTACCCTAAAAAAACTGTTCGACAAGAGTTCTCCCGCAAGGGAAATAAACCGTGGCAATGCATTGAAAGATTACATGACGATTATGCCACCGACACCTGATACCGTGAGTTCATGCGGATTCTCTTGCCGTAGAAGTAGAATACCACCGGCACCGGTAACAAACCCAAGGCGACAAACCCAAGCAATGAATTCCCCCATCCCAGCCCTAGCTTCGCATACATTGAAGGCCCGGCAAGCGGCAAGAAGGCTCCGACAATGGACCGAACGACTGTGTTCGCCGCTATTGCTGAGGCAGCGTACTCGCCAAACGCGTCAACGAGGTACGCTTGAATGGGGAGGAGGGTAGCGATCATCCCGCAGCCAACCCAGCCCAGTCCAATGATGGGCATTATCCAATGGAGATGCATCTGGGCGGACCATCCGTACCAGAAGAGACCGACAGGGATAAGAAAACTTCCCGGGATGAGCGGCGGAAGTCGGAATTCCGGCTCCGCTTGGCCGTTGTTTCTTGCGATGAGGAGGCTTTGGATTTTATCGGACAGGGCACCGAAGCAAGCAATGCCAATGAGGGCTCCGACGCCAATGCCGATAAACACAAGTCCGGTGGCGCCTTGACTGAAATGGTAGGTGGTTTCGTATACTTCGGTGACCGTTGTAAAGAGCAGGTAAAGGTAGCCGAAAACCACTCCTAGGGGCATGCAGCTGTTTAGACCTGTGCCTGAGTTGAGATTTAGAGCTACTTACCTGTGTATAGCGAGAACAAGGCGACATTTGGAGTGAGAAAGAGTAATTTCGTCGGTCTGGTTATTGCCTGGATGAAAACCTCCCTAGAGCTCAGCTTCAGGGCGTGCGCAGCGTTCACGTCCACAGATCTGTTCTCTTGTCTAGTTCGACTCGCTTTCTTCCGCAAGAGAACCGGTTCGTAAGATTCGGATAAAACAAGAACAACGAGAATGACTGCAATCCCGGACTGTATCGGTAAACTAGTGAGTTTGGACGAAGAGTAGAAGGACGGAAGTCGCCACTAACCACAATGGCTAGCAGCCAGAAAACCCATCGCCAACCTTGTGCCTGGGAAAGGTAGCCACCGGCGATTGGCCCGATGACAGGGCCAAGGAGCGGGCCCAGCCCATAGATGGACATGGCGACTCCACGCTCCTGTCGGGCAAACATATCCGCGACGCTGCCTGCACCCAGTGTGACCGGACCGCTGCCAGAAATCCCGGCGAATAGACGGAAGACCAGAAGCGCACTGACGTTAGGGGCGAGAGCACCTGCGATATTCCAGATCGTGAATATTAAAGTGCCGACCTGGTAGACGCGCAATCGGCCATAGATTTCCGAAAGCGGGGCGAGGAAAAGAGGTCCGACTGCGAAGCCGACGAGATAAATGGAGACAACGAAGGAGGCCAGAGTCCTGTTGGCTGAAGGAAAGTCTTTCATCACAAGTCCCTGTGCCGGTGCGACAATCGACGAAGTCAAGGGGGTGAGAAAGGTGAGATATGAGATAACGCACATATTCCACCATTTTTTTGTACGCGACCAGTTTACCGGTCGTGCAGGATCCGTCGGCCCATCCCAGCCTACCTCCTCGGTCGATGGTTCTGGTGCCTTTTTTGTTGAGCCACCTCCCTGTTCATGCCCACTGGGTTCTTTGCAGTTCCGTGGCGGCTCCTCCTGGTGATCCATGTTCCCAGCCATTACCTAGCAGAGAGGTTGTCCTCGCAGATTCTGATCGGTATTATGACACATTAGTCAGACAAATATACTTAGATGACTTCGTTTCTCGGGGAGACATACTGGTGCAGTGGTAGATTGGGACGCGAGCTAGGGCACGTTCTCCTCTGCGTGTGTAGGTGGAAAACAGGCGGAAATCCCAATCGATCGCGTTCCGTACGCAACAGGTGCTGCAGTGCAATATTTATTTCGCCCCGTGTTTGCTCGCCCCGGCCCTCGGGTCAAGCGGGAGAATGCGTTTGCGTCTAGAAGCTCGGACAGCAAATGAATAGTCGTAGCTGGCATCGCTGTCCTCCTCTACAACATCTCTAGAAGCCCGATCCTCACTGTATGGAGAGGTTTGAGATTGAGCGTGCTGGGGATTGGGTGGACCTCTGGCACGTTGTGAAAGGCAAACATTCAGGACAGAGTGTAATACCCTTGGACTAAAGCAGAGATAAAATGAGAAAATCCGGATGGTCTACAAGATTAGGTGCGATATGAGCGAAAGATGGGCATCTGCTGCATATGCGTGGCGACCTACAGGCAAGGTATTAGATTCATGACTACAGTTAATGGTTGGGCTTGCGCCATTTCCCCTTCCAGTGCAACTTTGGGGGCATACTCTACAACACTCAAGAACCTTGCTCTCTACCTCCTCCCATCATTACCTTTACTTATCGGCTCCGCGTCTTACTGCTCGCCTGTGAATCTGCCCAAATGATCCAATTCGCTAGCGAGATCGTTCGCCAAACAATCTACAAAGCTAAGGTAGCTGTTCAGATGCGGACGGTGTCTCACTCAGCAAAGCCAGGACCATTAGTTTTGCTGATAAGGGCCACGGTGGGTAAGTAGCCAGTATCACCTTCCATCCACTCGCAAAGTATTCCGGCCCAAAGCTGGCAGCAGTGACGCGTCTGTGTCACTCGTATTATCTACGCACCGGAGACGTCGTTTCGGACTTCGCGGTCACCTGAGATGTACGGACCGGTATCACCTCGAGTCGTGCATGGGATGACATCTCGGTGCGCGCCCCTGGGAAGCTGAGGTCGATAAAAAGAAACCCCTCTATAACGGCCCCACTGCGCCTCTTCCAAATTCTGACGGTTGATGGCGAGCTTCATCGCTTTTACAGCTATTTGCTTGCCAAGGGTTCTCCGATGCTGCGCTGAGAGAGCACGAGCTAGTGATCCAACCCAACACCACTCTACGGGCCGAGAAGCTGCATGAGGAAGTAATAGCATAAAAAGACACCTGAAATTACAGCTTGGCTTAACGTAAGGTACCTGACCCCCTGGTCCAGGACATTGGCAGCTGTCACAGTGCATTGCTCTAGTACGAGACATTCAATCTCATCTTCGAGCTTGCATTCGGCGAGACCTACGGCTGCCTCGAGAACTCATATTACCACCCCTGGGTGAAAATAATTCTGGAGGTAATCAGGCTCCGCACCATGAACCATGCTGTGGGGTTACTAGCCATGCATATTCCTTCCCCTGATGTTGTTCGTCCCCAAGTCCTTGCGTGATATATTTCTCACACACCGCAGGTCACCCATGACAATGTGCAGCGTCCAGTGGACCGAACGCCCGCTACAAGGACCTGACCGCCACCTTGTTCGATCCACAGTACGGGCTCCAACGTTACAAATGGATGGGAAGTGCTCCGCGCCCATCAATACAGGTGGCGAGACGACAGCAACTGCTCTAAGCGCCACGCTATACTTCCTGGCCCGAAACGAAAATTTCTAGCGCAAAGTGCTCGGCGAAATCCGAAGCACCTTGAACAGCTTTGGAGGCATTAGCGTGAATCAGCTGAAGTACCTGAGCGCCTGCATAAACTATGCGCTCCGGAACTTCCCTCCCGGTCCCCGCCGTCTTATGCGCCGGGTCCCTTAATGGATAATTTCATGGACGATCATTGGATCCCCGGTGGTGCTCAAGTGGACATTATACGCTACTGCATCGATTGCTGCAGCGGCTTTGTCGATCAAGACCAATTTTTTCGAGAACAGTGGCTCGGGGATCCCGCGTCAGAACGACGATCGCCACGCCATGCGGGCGTTCAGCTACGGCCCTCGCAACTGCATCGCTCATGTCCTAGCCTGGTTGGAGATGCGCCTGGTTCTGGCCCGGCTGATCTGGGAGGTTAATTGGGAGCTTGCCCCTCTATCGGACTGGAAAGTCACGTTGGTCTTCAAAGTCTGGAGTACAAAGCCGTTGAGGATCAATTACACCCTCAAGTGTTACGCTGAAGTGGCGTAGAGTGGATAATGGGGAAGGCAGTCCAACCATTTGTTCAGAGAGACTTTATCACTAATAACATTAAACCTTCTGTACGTTGTATGTCTTGTATCAGAAAGCTCATAACTGTGGCTAAGAGTGCGGACTCGATATCCAATGAAGGGTTGGTGAAGTAGAATAACCACCCAAGGTCCTTTCCTAATTTCTGCATTCCTCTACTGCTCGCTCTGTCTTGCTTACGTCCAATCGACTCCGCATGTGATACCTGTTGAGAGGCAAAGGAGGACACGTAGGATCCCTGCAACTCTGTTGGACTGCAGGGCATCCCACGCCGTTACTCGCCGGACCCTGATGGTATGTACCTACTACAGACTTGAAGAATGGGCCAGGGAATGGGACGGCATCACTCGGCCAGAACGTCATAACCTCATAACTCGTGGGATCTCATACGCGAGGTTACATCGTTGAGTACGGTACAAAAGAGGGGCGATCACTGGACGTTCCAGGTCAGAATCCATGTCTGCGAAAGCATGGTGATATACGTGACTGGCTGAATCGGACCTCACCAGGCAACGCTGAATATCCTGGTATTTCGCTGATCTAACTCAGCAGCTAAGATGCAATGCTACTTACATATGCATTATGTGATAGGTCAGTACAAAAGCCGCATCCAAGGTCAGCCAGGTTTCCGCTAGACAGGAGAATGTGACACAATTGGCCGAGATGAGATCAACCAAGGGCACAGGAGTGGAACGCGAATCTAAGACAATCTTTCAAAATGCGCTTTTTAGTGCCCTATCGGAAGCGGCCATGTACGCGGACCGAAGACGCTAGTCTATATGCAGGTCTCATAAAGACAAGGGTATCCTCAAGGGTACTGCATGCCCAGCCCTTCATGGCCAGTTAAGTCATTCTTCCACTAGCGTCTGATCAGCGCCGAACCATTTTCAGCTGGCACTGCTGCTCAATGTGGTTCCCAATGCCATACCATAAACCATGGATTGCGGTCTCAAATCAGATGCATTGAAGCGAGATATCATCACGCTGGCTTCCTGCAATGTGACACGAAGAGGTAGTGATTGGTCACGGAGGCGCTGCCCTTGATTCCCAAGACGCTAAGGCCTTGCAGGCCGGCGATCACAATCTAGCAAGGCCACAGGGTCCAAGGTGAGCAATTTCGCGAATTAAGCTTCACGCACCAGCTGTTGCGCAAACATGGTATGATCATCTGTTACTTATAAATCGGTAGAGTTGCATTTAGTCATGTTTCACCTTCCCTTACTGACATTCTCGAAGATGGCTACCAAGATCGCAAGCTTACTTGGTTTTTCCAGCGTCGCCTGGCTTAGTCTGGCGAATGTGATCGTCGCCCGCGACACCATCTCTCGTGATGTAATCATCCTTGGTGGTGGCAGCTCGGGAACGTATGCGGCGATTCGTCTTAGGGATCAAGGTAAGACCGTCGCTGTCGTTGAACGTAACGATTATCTGGGTGGTCACGGCGAAACCTACTATACTGAAAATAACACGCCACTCAACTTCGGTGTGGAAGGATTCTTCAACACGTCTGTGACTCGGAACTATCTGGAGCGGCTTCAGGTACCCTACGGGCGTCGCAACCCTGCTCCCGCGCGCGAGGACTACGTGGACCTCAAAACAGGGCAAAGAACGGAATACCCTCCAGGCCAGCTCCAGGACAGGGAAGCATTTGCGAAATGGGTCGATGCCATCTCTCAGTTTGGGTTCTTGGATGACGGCGTCTACAGAATCCCAGAACCGGTACCAGAGGACCTCGTCAGTCCTTTCGCGGACTTCGTTAAAAAGTACCATCTCGAGGATGCCGTGTACGCTCTCTTCTCTCACACTTCTGGCGACGTGCTCGAAATGATCACCCTCTACGTCATCCAATACATCGGCGTCCCCCACGCCGCCGCCTTGAACGAGGGCTACGTCCGTCCCATCGAGGGCATCGCCGCTCTGTACAAGAGCGCTGGCAAAGAGCTCTGCGGTGACGTTCTCTTGGAAACGACTCCCGAGTCTGTTCAGCGCTCCAAGAATGGCGTTGAAGTCATCGCGCGCAGTGCTGATGGGAGGAAGACGCTTCTGAAGGGCAAGCAACTGTTGGTTACCATTCCGCCACTGCTGGACAACCTCCACGGCTTTCCGCTCAGCAAGCAGGAATCGCACATTTTTTCGAAGTGGCAGTATCATCAGTACTGGGCTGCGCTTGTCAATGATACCGGTCTCCCCAACGATGTGAACCTCGTAAACGTCGACCCAGAACGCCTGTACGGTGTTCCCGAGGAACCATTCATCTGGCGCCTGGATAATCATTGGGCCCCCGGCTACCACAACATCAAGCTAGTCGGTGGGTCCGAATTTGGCGAGGATGAGGCGAAGGCATACATGTATGAGAAGCTCGAGCTTCTCCGTGCGGAGGAAACATACTGTACCCAGAGGCCTGAGATCGTCAAATTCGCGAGCCACACCCCTGTAACCATGTTTGTTTCAGCGGAGGAAATCCGTGGCGGGTTCTATCGGCAACTCTATGAGCTTCAGGGGTTCAACAGCACGTTTTGGACCGGCGCCACTTGGGCGTCGGATTACTCGACCTTGCTATGGGGGTATACAGATGAGGTTCTCGAGCAGATGGCTTCTTCCTCATCGCTAACCTGAGTACCTGTGTATCAAACTGATCTGCGAAATTCTACAAGGGCGGTCGCACTTTGGTAGCTATCTAGGAATGTTTCATAGATGCAATAAACTAGAGCTTGAGAACTTAATATGATTGTATCCACACTGGACGTCTAAGAGCGATCTTTACCCTGCACATTGAGACTTGTAAGGGATATGAAAATTGCAATGGTAAGGTCTCTCAAATATAAACTAGTCTGTAGATCCCTTGGGGATACGTACCAATGAAACGTGGCCCTTGTATCTTTGAAGAGAGGGGCGAGGCAACAAGGTCTATTGGATTACTGCTCCTACGGACAGGAAATATAAAGTGGGAACAGAGAGAAAAATCGAGTCTTCTTTCTTGTCCTAAGCGAAGCAGACTTCTCCTTGCATCTGCAGCACCCATGGCTAGGATAAACAATAATCTGCCTCTACGAGTTCCCCATATGTAATCAACCAACGCGTTTAGTGAATGCATTTAAAATGAATAGGTAATCTAGCTCAGTGATGCTGACCCTCATGACACATTGTCACCTCCTCGCTAGCAGCATTGAAGGCCTCGAAGGTATGGAGGTAGACACTCATGTACGGTTTCTTTCCTTTGTAAGAGAAGGAGACCCAGGCCTGCAGGTGATTTGAGGTACGCAGGTCGACATCCGGACTGCGGATCGAGATCAGCCCTATTCCTTCAATATGTGGGATATGTCAAGACTTACTAGTACGATGCCAAATCCGATGGATAACTTTTCGCCAGGCCACCCCACCCTCTTCTCTCAAAGAAAGTGGCCAGTCCTTCTGCGATGGCTCTGTCGTTCTGCCCAAAAGCAGGAAAATAGATCTGTGGCTCGGGAAGTGGGCTTTTCGGAGACAAGGTAAAATTGATAATGAAGGGAAGCTGCTCCTGCGGTGAGGTACCAGGCTCGTAAAAGCAGTTCGGCAGTGGACACAGACCCTCCGTGATGGGTAATAACTGCCACAGCTCCCTGAGCGCATCCAACCCCTCCAGTGTCTCTGGGTCGTCCCGTCGCCCGTTCAGTGTCCAGATGTCTTCGACGGAGGCCAGGTTCAGCTGGCGTTCCATACAATAAACTTTGATCCTCGACTCGGCTGGCTTAACCAAATCACAAGAGAGAAAGTGACCGATCAGGGTAGGCGCTCGCTCAGCAATAAACTCCTCAAGGATCGCCAGTGGGGTGGCAACTTTACCACTCTTGTCGGCGGCCTTGATTGCGTCAAACATGAGCTTCTCCTTCGGCGTCCCGGTCGCGATAGACTTGATGCGGGGGTAGATGTAGGTCTTCCAGACACTTTGGCCGGATGGCTCTAGGTCGGCCGCCAGCTTGTTCTGCGTCTTGAAGACGGGGATATGAGAATTTGCATCACGCAGATTTTGAACGTCCTCCTCTGAAACGACCAGCGCGTTGGTAAAATGGTCAAACCATTCCAAGTCAAGCCCTGGAACCATGGCCTTCAGGTCCTGGAGAACAGGCCTGATGGCTTGGGTGTTGAATGGATCATCCTGCGTTCCCGTTAAGGGACCAATGGGCTCGAAGGCGAACCGCAGTAGTGCTTTGGAGAAATTGAAGCTCAGCTCGAAGGGAAGTCCAAAGCGCGTCAGATGGCTCTTCCAGTGCATGGGCTCACCCTTTTCAGGGTAGGGACCCAACGCCGGGATGATGACCTCGCGGTGGATGCAAAGGAACTTGTACTGTGCGTGAACGTCATATCCGGCCCCCGCCATCATGGCGGCAAACATCGGAGCAGTGCTATACCACCATTTTGCGTGGTTCCTGTTCGAGAGGTTCAGGGCTTGACTCAGAACGTGGAAAGGTTTTGGCAGCTGTGCCGCTGGTTTCTTAGAGATTTCCATCGTTCAGCCTCCTAGTTGCTAGGTTGTTGTATGAAATGAGAGGCAAAAAGACGAGGGGAATCCAAGGAACACTACCCTGCCTTTTCTGTTCTGGTTATACCATGATATTCTTCTCATCCGCATGGGTGGGGCATCGCCTTCTCTGTGCGTTTGTGACAGCGACCGCATGATGCAGGCTATACCAGCCCATAGGCATAGAGTGCCAAGGTCCATCTCGCTGACCGATGTAACTGTGTTCCTCGTACGCCCACTAAACCAGGCACTGAAGACCGCGGGCTGGCTGAGGTCCACATTCCGTCCCAAAAGTGTTCAAGGATCAGAGCCATTTTCTGCCAGTGGGTGCTCGCGCCTTTTATTATTGTGGGGGGGCGAGTGGTTTTGGCCGCTTGAGATCTTTAAGCCAACATATGAATGACAAAAGTACAATGTATAGCGTACTATGCACTGGAGTACTACATGTGATTACTTTTACATTCTGCAGTGCCAAGCGGTAAGATGGTGATCACCAAGATCTAGTCTCATGTAACCAGGTGGCCATCTGCAAGATGCACCATCCTGGAATGACCAATACCCAACCGGATGGGACTAATTGCAAGATCATGCAACTATGGCGATCGAACAAGCTGAACAGAACACTAGATGGGAAATTGCTTCAGCTAAAATGGCGGGCACAAAACAAATTTCACTGCACGGGATACTGAGTGCCACGCATCCAAGACAGTTCCGGTTAGTAGATTCAGAGTACCCCAATGGCTCAGCTGATGAAGCGCACTGAAGTGACGATGGCTGGTGAATGGGGCTGAATGCTGTGAGGATAGGATAAAAGCTCGAAAGTTCCACGTATGTTTGCTGTCGTGGTCAAGCCATTCCATTGCTAAGCTCGCCGCCCGTATCCCATATCTTTACATCTTTGCTGGAAGGGGTTCTTCCGTCAATACTAAGTTTATCTCACTACCATGAGGACGCCAATTGCTGTTATTGGGACCGCCTGCCGATTTCCAGGAGGCGTAGCATCCCCTTCGCAACTTTGGGAACTATTGTCCAACCCAAAAGATGTCCTTACGGATGTAGATCCCAAACGATTAAACTTACTCAACTTCCATCACCCCAACGGCGAGTATCATGGAGCCACAGATGTCCCGAATAAGTCCTATATACTGGACAGTGATGTTCATCGCTTTGATGCTGGTTTCTTCAACATTAGTGCGGCGGAAGCGCAGGCAATGGATCCGCAACAACGGCTCTTACTCGAGACGACATACGAGGCGCTCGAAGCTGCTGGATATACATTGAAACAGATGCGCGGCTCATCCACGGCGGTGTTTATTGGCGCGATGACCTCGGACTATCACGACATTCAAGCTCGGGATTTGGACACGATCAGCCGGTGGCATGCAACAGGGACATCGCCAAGTATTCTTTCAAATCGCGTCTCATACTTCTTTGACCTAAAAGGGCCGTCCATGACTATCAACACTGCATGTTCCAGCTCCCTGGTGGCATTGCACCAAGCGGTCCAGAGTCTACGTAACGGCGATTGCACGACCGCCATTGTAGGTGGCGTCAATCTCCTGCTCGACCCTGAGATTTTTATCAGTCATTCCCACCTACATATGCTGTCTCCAACGTCAAGATGTCGCATGTGGGATAGGGATGCTGACGGCTACGCTCGAGGCGAAGGGTGCGCTTCAGTCGTGATCAAAACCTTGGATCAGGCGCTGAAGGATGGCGACGATGTAGAGTGCATCATTCGGGAGACTGCGGTCAACTCGGACGGAAGGTCTGCGGGAATTACAATGCCCAATCCGGAGGCACAGGCGGCGTTAATCCGTGAGGCCTATGAGCGCAGTGGCCTGGATCCGGTTCGGGACCGATGCCAATATTTCGAGTGCCATGGTACTGGAACCCAGGCTGGAGACCCTGTCGAGGCACAGGCAATCCAGCAGACATTCTACCCAGAGAGCGGTGTCTTTAGCCCAGACGACAATCTGTATGTGGGAAGTATCAAGACTCTCATTGGCCACCTGGAAGGCTGTGCAGGTCTCGCCGGCGTGATGAAGACTATATTGTGCCTTAAGAACCGAACCATCACGCCAAACATGCTTTTTGACAACCTCAACCCCAATGTCGCTCCTTTCTACGGCCATCTCAGGATTCCAACAAGCACTATGCCCTGGCCGCCCGTTTCCCATGGCTCCCCCTTGAGGGCGAGTGTAAACTCATTCGGTTTTGGAGGGACCAACGCCCATGCCATTATCGAGAGCTATGTACCTCACCAATTGGAAAACCAGGCCACTTACTGTGACCAGTCTAGCATCATTGTAACCGCCGGCCCATTCCTCTTCTCGGCACACACTGAAGAATCCCTATATTCGAACATTGAACAAATAGCCCGTTGCGTGAGGAACGACGAAGCATTAGATCTGGGCAGTTTGGCCTGGACTTTAGCCAAAAGAACCGTCCTGCCATTCAAGATCTCTGTCACTGCCTTAAACAGAGACGAGCTCCTCCGCAATATAGATAAGGTCATTGAAGAGTACAAAGCCAGCAAAGGGAGCGAACACGGCCAATTGCATTGGAGGCAGTCACCCGAACCACCAAAGCTCATGGCCATTTTCACGGGGCAAGGCGCACAATGGGTTGGAATGGGCCGTGAACTGCTACGTGCGTCTTCCATTTTCCGCAGGTCCATCGAGCGATGTGAGCGTGCTCTGGCAACTCTTCCCGACGGCCCGTCATGGTCCCTTCAGGAGGCACTTTTAGCAGACAAACCCTCGTCAAGCCTCTCTAAGCCTGAAGTAAGTCAACCAGTAACGACGGCCATTGAAATAGCTGTCTATGATCTCCTGTGTGCGTGTGGAGTCAACGTCGATCGGGTCGTGGGCCACTCATCTGGCGAAATAGTGGCCGCCTATGCGCTCAACATCATTTCGGCAGAGGATTCCATGAAAATAGCCTATTACCGTGGGTTGCACACCAAGCCCGTTAAATCGGGTGGCATGCTCGCCGTTGGCCTTTCCTTTCGCGACGCCACTGAGTTGTGCTCCCGGCCATCCTCTTTGGGGAGGGTCGTGGTGGCAGCGAGCAATGGGCCTCTGAGCACAACGTTATCGGGTGATTACGATGCGAT